GAACACGCAACTGACAAGACCCACTTTCCCGCCACCGCACGCGGTTTTTATAGCTGTGCGGCCCGGGCAACATTAGCATAAATTAGATAAATAGAGGGCGTCCTAATGCCTTACCATAATTTCGCCACAATATGTTTGATTTGATGTTTATTGGGGTGATTGTGATGATTGTTTTTATGGGTTTTTCTTAAGTTTCCTGGCTGGAAACCGTAAGTACTGTAGTCAGAAGGACAAAGGGTTAGTTGATTATTGCATTAAATGCATATGGATGCTTCCTCCGCTGAAATTTCAAAGTTTTTGAAGTGAATAGCGGCCTCTTTAATTTTTTCCAATTAAGGGTTTTCACCATAAGCTTGGCATATCTACAAATTCTCCCTAATAGATATTCTTCTGGTAAAAAGTAAAGTAGCCAATGCACACACATACTCACTGTACAATTGTACATAACAAGAAACGCTGCACCCTCTCCGTCTCCCCCCCCCCCCATATCACTTTCAAGTTGAGTTTTTGCACAGGGCAGTGAAACATCAATGGCCGTCGACCTACAGTGAAATTAATAAATTTCAATCATTTAAGGGCAAAATCCGTCGTTAAAGTACACCTTGAAATTCAAACCATTACTAAGTTACTCTAAACTGTCACTGTGCAATCGGTATTTCAAGACATATAACCTTCCCTGGCTGGCCAAAATCAGAGCGCTTCCTCACGGTGCTCCACCAAACTCTATCTGTCGGCCCATACCAGTTTTCTGTTATAGTAAGTCAAGAAATCAAAATCGTCGAAATTGGACGCAAAGGGATATCAACTGCTGATCAACAATGGCGTAACCTAACGTTTAAAACAATAGCAAAAACAAAGAACACGGGAATGGCCAATGCGATGTCCAAACATCTTATTACCGGGCATCTGAGGTGAAGGAGGCGGGTGAATCCATGCCCCCTCTCCCAGTTACGCCAGTGTTCATAAATGTATGAGCCAAGGGAGGGAACGGTAACAGCCTGATTATCGGTCATTATTGTTTGTCAAGAACAGAGTAAGGGTTCTTTTTTTGAAACGAGATTTTACTAAATAGTGCCAGGGATTAATATCCCCACTGTCCCAAATTACTTTTGCAGCCCTATATTATATTAAACACACACACA